AATTGCATTAAATATTTTTAACGCGTTAAACTGAGAAAATTAATCGCATATATTAATGCATTCATTTTGACAGCACTAATATATATATATATATATATATATATATATATATATAGACAAACTCTGATGAGTAGCCTAAGATTACTTGCATCTGTTGTTATTGTTATTGTGACATAACTTGTACACATTTTACTAGTTAGACTTTTCTAATTCCTGACTACATGTTTGAAATCAAGTGAAACATTTTGAAATATGTGATATTTCATTGTCTAAATGTCTCACAACGCCAGGATGTTTGTTTAATGTTTTAACATATAAAACCACAAGATATAAAAGTAATTATGGGAGGCCCTTTGTCTCTCAGGTGTGAATCACTAAATATTCATGGCCATTGTCACTCCCTTGCATAAGGGCATTCTATCACAAAACATGTTTTACAAATGTTAAATCAATATATTGTTTTCTGTAAATAAGTGAACAGGATAATTTTCACATCATTTTATAGCAAAAACTCTTAGTCTACCACATTCTCAAAAGTCTTGTGAACAAACGTTCTGTATGTGTTTTATGGCCTTATTTCAGTGACTTTGAAATTTGTTTTTCACTAACCATGCATAAACATTGTTTTCTCACAAACATGTACTTTCATGCTGCTCACAAATTATTGTAGCCCAGTTTGTGCTGAATACAGTGTTATCAGACTTTAGCCATTAACATTTTTTTAAGACACTGAAAAAAAAAAACAAATGTCAGGGCATGCCAAAACTTCTTTTATGAAATAGTAGTAAATCGCATTTTAAATCGCAAATCGCAGTTTTGATCAGAAAAATCGCAATTAGATTTTTTCTCCAAATCGTGCAGCCCTAGGGTTAACTACACGCCTCAGAATGTTTCCCACTCAACTGCAATCCCTAAGCATTGTAAAAGTGATAAGAAAACTGCTCTCAAATCTGGGTTTAAACTTCCAGGATGAAGGACAGCATGGCGAATCCTCTTGACCTTTGACCCCTGAGAGGTCTGTCATGTGAAATGGGGTCAAGTGGGCACATTCTTTTAGTCAGGTGTCGTCTGTTTGTCACGGCTCTATGCTGCAGTTATTCCCATCTGTGGCGAGTCACTACGAGAAAAATAAAAATATTCAGCCAAGAGCAGTTGAACATTACCAAAAACCAAAAAAAAAAAAAAAGAAAAAAGGAAAAACAGCTTGCACCAAGAACCAAACTCGAAGAGAAGTTTGAGATCGACAGTCTGTTAACCTGTAATTCTGTTTTATTGGTAATCAATGTCTGACAGGTATGAGCGGCCACCCACCTCAGGTGCTGCTGGGAGCCGTGAGAGAGAGCGTGTGTGTGTAATGAGCGCGAGTAGGTCAGGGATCGATGCCGCTGTAATCATAGCGCCGTGCCGTAGAGACAGTCAGAGCTGAGACAGATTTGCCCTGTTTCTGAGGACTGTTAAGGCTCGAGCAGGAACAAACTCATGGTCTCTGGATGGCAGAACAAAGCGCCATTCCATAATTACATCTGAAAAAAACCCTTCCACAATCCTTTCCTTGTGCGCTGACTAAGTAAACATGGACAGCATGTTTAATTTGTTTAAAGTACACCGCACTAATATGACACCCATGGTTGGAATGTGTTACCCATGACAACCGATCACATATCTTTGAATGCATCATCATCTCACAAGAAAAACGAGCTTATATGCTTTTAAATGGTTAAGTGTTTCTCTTCAGACCCATTTTAAGCTAATTATAACTAGTATAAACTAACCCTATCCGTAAAATAAAAGCAATTTAGAATTTTAAAAAATTAAATGCAAACGTTGTAAAGCTTAATCTTTCAAAAAAAGTTATATAATTGGAAAAATGTAATGTCATGAATAAAAAAAATAATAATCATATCATACATGACAAATATATTTGTCATATATATCAACTTTAAGGTTGTAACGATATACCGGGATGACGGTTTATCACGGTTTGAACGTGCACGGTTATCATACCGTAAACATTTGAATATCTACGGTTTTTAAAAAAATTAAAATGTAATGTCATGAATAAATAAAAAAAAAATCATATCATACATGACAAATATATTTGTCATATATATCAACTTTAAGGTTGTAACGATATACCGGGGTGACGGTTTATCACGGTTTGAACGTGCACGGTTATCATACCGTAAACATTTGAATATCTACGGTTTTTAAAAAAATTAATGAATAAAAAAATCTCACCCGCGCACATGCAACTAATTTCCAACATCTTCGCTCATATTCGCGGACACCATCCCTCCATGCAGATAAAGGTATGTCGCATTAATAAGAAGTTATAAGTTAAGGCCGTATGATTTCCGTGAAACAGAGGGAATCCAGGTGCAGTCGTGAACATGGAATTTACAGTATAACGAGGATGTCACGTAAAACGCGCAATCTGGAACACATTGCATTACACCAAATACACTGAAGAGCAGGCAAAAGCACGCACATCGATCTCAACTGGGTGCTCGACCAAAAAACAAGTAGAAATATTTTAGATGCAAAGTCACTAACGTACTGCATACTGAAGTACGCATACATAAATGGTGTTTTCAGCGTCTAAGATACATAAATATGAACATCAGCAGAGCTGCACTGAGAGAAAACGTAAATAAACATTTCCTAGTTTTATTTGAGAAAAAACATTGTCAAATACACTCTGAAACTCAAATGTCCGCTACAACCCGTCAAAACAAAAGTTTGATTTAATTTTAAATTATGACAGAAATATATTAGCATTGTACAATGTACTTCAAAGTTATAATAACAACAATAATAATATTCTTTATAATAAAATAATTTACACATTGTTTTCAAGGAATATCATGTTTGTCCATGTTTTAACTTTGCCAAAAATAAAAGGAGTTGTAAATTTTCATTTAATAACATTTTAAAGTGTGATTTAGATATACATAAGGTGTACAGCTTTATTTATTTTATATATTTTTTTAATTTATTATTTATTTTTTTTCAGAAGGGAGACTTCAATAATTTCATTAAAATGGTTTCAAGTTTGTTGTAATAAAGGATTTGTTCACTCAAATAACTTGCTCTTGTTCTTTTAAGAGTCATTGTTACTGATAAGAATTATTGTTCAATATATATGTGATAACCGTGAAATCGTGATATTTTCTGAGACGATTATCATACCGTGAAAATCTCATACCATTACAACCCTAATCAACTTTATGGGGACAAATGTGTCAAAATAAATACGTTAATTTTTTTATTATTATACATATATAATGTTTATATTAAAATAATATAAACCATAATATATATAATATAAAATAATAAAATATATATTACATCATTCTTTAATTTATCATGTTTTCATGTCTCTGCAGCATGCAGTATACAGTACATGCTGCATGTTTATTTGTGTTTGTAAGCTAAAATGACAATTTAACCCATCTCTTGTGTCTTTTCTCTCTCATGTCTGTACAGCAGGTGTGAGGGTGGTCCTTTGAGCTCTGACTGACATCTGTCACGCTGCCAATCATCCTCTGTATCATCTTTAACTGTTGTCTGTTTCTATAAAGTGGGGCGATTCTAACTTTCAAGGACAGTCTGGCGCTTCTGACTCACAGTCTGTAAGTACGTTT